GAGCGCAGTTTGGGCGGGTTCAGTGGCAGGAAGCTGATTAGCTCCGGAGCGAAGCTGGAACCGGGAGTGGGGGGGTTTGGAGGACTCTAATTGCCTCCCACCACGTCCTACCCCCCTTGCAGGTGTATAGCAGTATGGAGCAGCTGTCGCAGCATGAGCCCAAAACCCCTGTAGCGGCAGCAGGAGGCAGCAAGCGGGAGCCGAGTGCCAAGGGTCCCGAGGAGAAGGTGGCCGGCAAGCGAGAGGGGCTGGGTGGCCTGACCCTGCGTGAGAAGACCTGGAGAGGGGGCTCCCCGGAGATGTGAGCAGAGGAACTACTGGGTTTGGGGGTAGGGCCGAGGGGGCGTGTCTCCTCTGACCACGCCCCCTTCATGCAGCAGCAAGCGCTTCTCCGCTTCGGAGGCCAGTTTCCTGGAGGGGGAGGCCAGTCCCCCGTTGGGCGCGCGCCGCCGTTTCTCGGCGCTGCTGGAGCCCAGCCGCTTCAGCGCCCCCCAGGAGGACGAGGATGAGGCCCGGCTGCGCAGGCCTCCCCGGCCCAGCTCCGACCCTCCAGGCTCGCTGGATGCGCGGGCCCCCAAAGAGGCGGTTCAAGGGGAAGGTACCCCCAGCACCGGGGATGCGGAGGCCAGTGAGTGCCCTCTCCTGCTGCCTTTCCCAGCTCCCCAGTGGCCATATATTGAGCATTCAATGAGCCTGGTACTGTTTATGCAAGATCTCACGTACTATTTATTCACTCTGCAACCTGAGATTCTTAACATCAGGAACACCCCGCTGTCACGCCCAGTCAGTGATACAGACTGACAGAGGGTGCTCCTCTGCATTAGGAGTAGTGCCAGATGCATGTTACCTCCTCTTATAAAACTCACAATCGGGCAACGGGAGAAAAGTGGGAAGAGCATTCCGGGCAGAGGGAACAGCATGTGAGAAAATTCCTGGCCTTGGACTGATCCCTAAATGGCGTGCTTTCTGTTGTAGTTGACCAACCACGCCCAGGTGACCTCTGCCCACCCTTGAAGGACGGGGACCCATCAGGTGCTAGGGCCACCAGTGACCTGGTTCTGCGCCGGGCGCGGCACCAGCAGATGTCAGGGGACCCTGTGGTAGAGAAAAGACCTTCTCGTACTGGGGGCAAAGTCATCAAGTCAGCCTCGGCCACTGCTTTGTCTGTCATGATTCCTGCAGGTAATGCTGGGCCCTACCTGCCAGGGGAGGGGCTGTCTGCATTCTGACTGGGACAGACCAATGAAAATACTGCATTTTCCCTGTCCACAGCGATTGGCTCCAAGATAGATCAATGAGAGGCTGCTCTGGGACTTTGACTTGGGAGGAGGGAGGAGCAGATACAGGGAGATCTATGTCTTGTTGGCTCTGACCTCTGACCATGGTTCTGTGTCTGCAGTGGACCCACATGGAAGCTCACCCCTTGCCAGCCCCATGTCCCCACGGTCTCTCTCCTCCAACCCATCCTCACGGGACTCCTCACCCAGCCGGGACTACTCACCAGCTGTCACTGGGCTCCGCTCCCCCATCACTATCCAACGCTCAGGCAAGAAGTATGGCTTCACACTACGAGCCATCCGCGTCTACATGGGTGACTCAGATGTCTACAGTGTCCACCACATCGTCTGGGTGAGCACTCGTGTGGGATCTGTATCCAAGGGTGGGGGCTGAGGCAAGAGAGGGGCCCCCAGAAATAATGGATCTTTCAAACTCTGGAGCCAGTTAGTCTGGGCGAGAGTCCTCCGTGACCCCCTGTGTCACTTCCCTCTCCAAGCCTCAGTTTCTTTGTCTGCAAAACACACTAATTCATACGGTGTTATGAGGATTATAGTGCATGCAGAGCTAGGTGTCTGGCACATAAGCTTAGAAGCTTTCCTTGTTACCAATTTCATTAACGCTGCCCCTGTGTGCTGCTCTGTCCCTAGCACGTGGAGGAAGGGGGCCCAGCCCAAGAGGCAGGGCTCTGTGCAGGGGATCTCATCACCCACGTGAATGGGGAGCCGGTGCATGGCATGGTGCATCCTGAGGTCGTGGAGCTGATCCTTAAGGTGAGTGCAGGGGAGGGGGTGCTCTGGGTGGAGGGGAGGGAAGAACTGAGCAGCCTCCAGCAGGGCTGTCCTCCTCCATTCTTCCTCCAGAGTGGCAACAAAGTAGCAGTGACCACAACGCCCTTCGAAAATACCTCTATCCGCATTGGCCCCGCGAGACGCAGCAGCTACAAGGCCAAAATGGCTCGGAGGAACAAGCGGCCCTCTGCCAAGGAGGGCCAGGAGAGGTGGGCAGAGCTATAGATAGCCCAGTCTTTGAGCAGTGGGCGGGCTGAGGCTGGAGAGGCGTACGTGAGGACTGAAGTGCACAGGAAAGGTGGCTGGAACCACTGACAAAAGAACAGACGACAGGACATACAAGTTAACAGGGGCTGGGAAAATGGGAGGGGCCAGGAAAGGAAGCTGTACCAGGTTTCTAGGCTGGAAGAGAAGCATAGTGGGAGGGTCTTGGGCAGGTGGGCAGTGCCAGCGGATGTGACCTGGAGAGGGCACTGTTCGGGGAAGGAAAAGGTTCTGACCTGTTAGATGTGTTTAGATTGGACTAGGAGGGGCTAGGTTGAAATTTCTATCTGGAACGAGCATGCCAGGCAAGACTGTGACAACTAAAATAGTTTTTTCCGTCATAGATGGGAGGAGCTAGGAGAGAGGTGGGTGGGGCCAGAGAAGAGTGTTGTTTTGATCAGTGGGTTTGGCCCAGACAAGGAGCCGAGATGGGATTTGAGTGAGTGAGAGGAGCCAGACAAGCTGAGTCGGGTGAATTTCTTCCCGTCCTGATAGGTGGGTTGCAGTAGAAGGGGGGACGGGGTTAGAGAGGTGGGCGGGGCCAGAAGAGATTGGTTTTGTTTGGGTGTTTCTAGCTTGAACTGGGAATAGCCAGAAAGAGGTGGGCGGGACCTCAAGTGGGAGGAGCCAAACTGCCGGGCATTAGGGGAAGTTCTTTGTCTTGATAGGTGGAGTATAGCTGGAGAGGGCGGGGCCAGAAGGGGTGGGAGGTTACAGGCGTTCTGAAGCGGGAGGAGCCAGGAACTCTGGCCTCTCAGTCCAGGCTAGGTGGCCCCCTTTCTGTCCCCCAGCAAGAAGCGCAGCTCCCTCTTCCGGAAGATCACGAAGCAGTCGAACCTGCTGCACACTAGCCGCTCGCTGTCGTCGCTGAACCGCTCACTATCGTCCAGCGACAGTCTCCCGGGGTCACCCACGCACGGGCTGCCGGCGCGCTCGCCCACGCACAGCTACCGCTCCACGCCCGACTCCGCCTACCTAGGTACGCCTGGGCCTGAGCAGACGGGGTGGCCTGGCTGGTGCCCGGGCGGGACTCACGGCCTGCTACACCTCCTCTCGCCCGCAGGCGCCTCATCCCAGAGCAGCTCCCCAGCCTCGAGCACACCCAACTCGCCGGCCTCGTCGGCATCGCACCACATCCGGCCCAGCACGCTGCACGGGCTGTCGCCAAAGCTCCACCGCCAGTACCGCTCTGCCCGCTGCAAGTCGGCCGGCAACATCCCGCTGTCGCCGCTGGCACACACGCCATCCCCAACGCAGGCGTCGCCGCCGCCCCTGCCGGGTCACACGGTGGGCAGCTCGCACACTACGCAGAGCTTTCCGGCCAAACTGCATTCATCGCCGCCCGTGGTGCGCCCGCGCCCCAAGAGTGCTGAGCCCCCACGCTCGCCGCTCCTCAAGCGCGTGCAGTCGGCAGAGAAGCTGGGAGCCTCGCTGGGCGGCGACAAGAAGGGCGCGCTACGCAAACACAGCCTCGAGGTGGGCCACCCGGATTTCCGCAAGGACTTCCATGGCGAACTGGCCCTGCATAGCCTCGCAGAGTCCGACGGCGAGACGCCCCCTGTCGAGGGCCCTGGCGCACCCAGGCAGGTCGCTGTCCGCCGCCTGGGCCGCCAGGAGTCGCTCCTGAGCCTGGGCGCGGACCCATTGCTGCCCGAGGGCGCCCCCAGGCCGCCAGCGTCAAGCAGGGAGGAGTCCCCGGGGGGCGCCGAGACCTGCACCCCGCCCCGCGCCACCACCCCCGGGGGCCGGACCCTGGAACGGGACGCCGGCTGCACGCGGCACCAGAGCGTGCAGACAGAGGATGGCCCGGGCGGGGTGGCCAGGGCTGTGGCCAAGGCGGCGCTGAGCCCGGTGCAGGAACACGAGACAGGCCGGCGCAGCAGCTCCGGCGAGGCGGGCACGCCCCCAGTGCCCATTGTCGTAGAGCCCGCGCGACCCGGGGCTAAGGCTGAGGCGCCCCAGCCTCCGGGCGTGGACTCCAAGGGGTTACAGGAATCCGCGCCCCTGATGCCTCCCGTGCCCGAGGCGCCCCGGGGCCGAGAGCGCTGGGTGCTGGAAGTGGTGGAGGAGCGGACCACGCTGAGCGGGCCTCGCTCCAAGCCCGCCTCCCCCAAGCTCTCGCCGGACCCCCAGACCCCGTGCCCAGCCCTGACGAAAAGTGCGCCCAGCAGCGCAGCAGCCCCAGCCCCACCCGCCTCCCTCCTGGTCCCTGGCACCAAGCCTGAAGTGGGGCTGACCTCCCGGTGCCCTGCTGAAGCTGTGCCCCCAGCAGGCCTGACCAAAAAAGGGGCATCCAGCCCCGCACCCCCAGGCCCATAGCTGAGGGGGCCCTTGGCCCTGCGCTGTACAGCCGCCTGTATACATATGTACACATATAAATAAAGTGCGTCCGTGCTGTGTGAGCTTTCTGGGGTCACCCCTTCTCCCCTGGCAAGAGGAGACATCATGTGTCCCCACCCCCAAGACTGGGTGCCTGTTGGGGGCTGGAACTCCAGTCCTGTTTACCATGGAGAGAGGAGGTAGATTTGGATGGACACTTCCGGTGGTGCCACTTCCCGTCTCACCTACTCACCAGCTGCCTCCAAACCCTTAGAAGAGGTGCTGCGAGGCTGTTCTGTGTTCTGGTGCCCACCCAAAGAAAAGGTAACGGCCCCATCTGCTCATTTCCTTTTACTCCTCAACAACCCTGAGTGGCACGTGTTATGTTTCCCATTTTGCAGATGAGCAGACTGAGTCATAGGTTAGGGCACACAATTAAAGTCATACAATTAGGGGTCTGAACTGGGATTCAAAGTCAAGTCCAAATGGGTTCCTGAGCCTTAGCTCTCATGTGCTCTGCGGGGCTTCCTGGCCCAGCTTTTGTCCCTACAGGGCTCCCAGGCCTTCACCAGGGGCTGGAAGGCCTTCCAGAGAGCTGGCAGCTGGGCACACAGCATGCCCCCACCCCGGTGCTCCTCTCCGTGGTTCCGATTCATGTCTCCCACGCAGGCCCAGGGCCCTTTGGGGGCCACACACCATTTGGAATGGTCCTCTCTGGCACTGAAGGTTGGCCCGGCTGGCCCAGGGAACTCTGTCTGGGTCACATCCAGAACTTTCCAGGTCCCCGAGCAGTTGGAGGGCAGGATGCCTGGAGAGTTTTGCCAGAACTGGACCTGCAGGTTGCTGCCAAGGGCTCCTGCCAACCAGCCGGAGTATAGGTCTGCAGAGGAAGGAAAGGGGTCAGGGTCAGGGTCAGGGTCATGGCTAGGCCACTTCCCCACTCTGAACTCAGTCTTTCTCATTCCTGAGCTCAGTTGTCAATTCTAAGCAACTCCAAGAAAGACAACATTAATATTACTAGTCCTTCCCAAATGCTTTATATGCATTCACCACAATTTTTTTTTTTTTTTTTTTTGAGACAGAGTCTCACTTTGTTGCCCTGACTAGAGTGAGTGCGGTGGCATCAGCCTAGCTCACAGCAATCTCAAACTCCTGGGCTCAAGCAATCCTACTGCCTCAGCCTCCCGAGTAGCTGGGACTACAGGCATGCGCCACCATGCCCGGCTAATTTTTTCTATATATTTTTTAGCTGTCCAATTAATTTCTTTCTATTTTTGGTAGAGACGGGGTCTCGCTCTTGCCCAGGCTGGTCCCGAACTCCTGAACTCAAACAATCCGCCCGCCTCGGCCTCCCAGAGTGCTAGGATTACAGGTGTGAGCCACCGCGCCTGGCCCCATTCACCACAATTTTTTAAGGTAGGCATCGTTATCCTCACTTTTCAGATGAGTAAACTGAGGCTTAGGTTAAATAATACATCAGACAGCCAGAAACCAATATTCAAACCCGGGACTGTTTACCTCTCGTGTGATTAAGTTTCCCAGAGAGATCAGTCTCTATCCCTGGCTTGTCCTCTGCCATGGACACAGCAGACACCCCCTCTGCAGAGAAAGAGCTCTCCCCACCCCCCACCCCCACCCCGCCGCCTCAGGGCTCACCATCTCCAAATTGTGCAGATTTGACAAAGCTCTGGAAAGTAGCCCCTGCCTGTGACGTGAGCGTTACACTGCTGTTCCAGGGTTTGTGGCGAATGTGGTGGCCCTTGATCACGTCCTCCAGGTCGGGGAATTTCTGGGCAAAGACCCCTTCCAGCTTGTGGTCATAGACCAGGGGGTAGGTATAGGTCAGCTGCTTGCCTGGAGGACAAGGGGAGGAAGAAATGTGAGAACACTCCAGGTTCTGCTCTGGAATCTGGGAATTGTCCTGCCTCACTCCACCCGCTAGCCCTTGCTCTGCTCTTTCTCTACTCACCAATCTTCAGGAACTGGGTGAGGGGAAAGGACACACAGAGCAGGGTCTGCCCGTTGATGCGGGCATTGTAAGGCCATCTGTATCCAGCAGGGGAGGGGAGTGGAGGGAAACGCGGCACACTGTGGACCAGCCACAAGCCCCCATCTTGGCCCATGAGCAAGACACCTAGACCAGAAGAGAGCAGTCAGTGGGGACTGCTCAAGGCATCCCAGCAAGCTCACCTGCAACCTGGAACACACTCAGTTGGCAGGGGGGCTAGGAGACGGTGCAGGCAGTGTCAAGTGTAAATTCTCCTAGTCCAGAGCAATGCTAAGATGAGGAAACAGAAGCCCACAGTCTGATTGCGCAGGCACCCCACTCCCTACGAAGGTCAGGGCTTAGCTTTGGGAAAATGTGTAGGGAAACCAGATCCCCCACCCCCCTGCCCCCAATCCAGGTCTCACCCTTCGTGTGTCCGCGGCTGGAAGTGTCCCAAGCCCTGCTGGCTTTAGGCGGCTGGTCATTGTAGAGAAGGAAGGCGAGCTGCAAAGGAGTGGGCAAAGGCAACGTGAAGTTCCAGGCACAGAGTCCCAGCCCAGGGTCGGCGGGCGCCCCCTCACCTGGCTGGTGTTGCTCCGGTACAGCGGCTGCAGGCTGCGGCCGACCGCCCCCGCCGAGCTGTTGATGAGCCCAGCGCCGTCGCGCCAGCCCCCTGAGTCCGGGTCCATGTACTTGTACCGCAGCCCGCTCTGCCACGCATCCCGGGACCCGCTATTGATCGGCAGCTTGTACACCACGAACCTGGAGGGCGGGGAGTTCGCAGAGATGGAGGAGGAAGGAGAGAAGGATCCCCAGGCTTCACCGAGGAGCGAAGCCATCCCGAGGGGTGTCTCCTGGCGCGGCGCCCACGCTTAACCTCGGGGGGGATGGTCGGCGCCCGCGCACTCACCAGTCCACGGGCTGCCCCGAGTCCCCGTAGCAGGTCAGGGCCCCGGCTGGGACCCACAGCAGCGCGGCCAGCAGCAGCGGGCTCATCGCAGCTCTGTGGCTGGCATCGAGAAATCTGTGCCGGGACTGTGGGGCGCTGGGTCACGCGCTGGGCCAGGTGCGGCCCCGTGGGGCTCTGACTTCCCCAAACTTGACGGGAACTTGGCCTCCGGAGGTCACGAGGATCGAGACTCCGCCCGGAGACTAGATGGGTCCTCTGGGAGCCGGGCTTTCTTCTGGGCCGTCCCTCCCTGCAGGCCCCGCCCCCAAAGGGGCGGATCGGAGGCCTCCTCCTGCATCCCGCGGACCCGATCCTCGATAGGCTCCGCCCCCGGCTCTGCTCAGAACACGCCCACGACAGGCCTGGAGGTCCCGCGCGTCCCGCCTTCGATCGCACCTCCCCGAGCCCCGCCTCCGCTCCTGCCCATTGTGGCTAATCTCAGCCCGCGCTCTTCCGTCCCACCCCGCTCCCTTCCTGCCTTCTTGATCAGGCACAAGTTTGGATTTTTTTTCCTTTCCAGCCCTGCAACTTTTGCTCTCTTAAGGGGAGGGAGCTTGTGCTCCGGATCCAACCCCGTTTTCATTCTGCACGTTTTCCCGGGCGGGAGGGGCTCCCCTGAGCGAGCCAAGGGGTCACTTTGGATAGTGGCAGGGTGGTGGGGCTCTGGCGACCGGCTGAGGGCTCTTAAATGGAGGGAGACGGTTGCTGTGAATGTTCTCGGGGTTCGAGGCACGAGACAAGGACGGTGTAGCCTGATCCTGGGGGAGATAAGAGGGCAGCAAGGCCTGCAGTGCCCAAGGTGGGTTGTCAGAGGTGAGGGGTGTCACTGAGGTTTGGGAGATGAGGGTGTGTATGGTCCCTTAAAATCACCTCTGGGGGTACAGCCTCCTCTCAACTTCCAGCCCCCCAAACCCACAGACTCAGGCCAACGCTGAAGCTTTACGGGGGAGACATTTTTATAGACCCATAACCATTCACAGCTCATGCCAGCCACCATGTGGGCTTCAGGAAGAGTCATGGTATGAAGCCCCCTCCAGACCCGGGGTCTCTGGGAAGCCTCACCCCACACCTCTTCCTGCTGTCCAGGGCCGCCTGTGAGCTGGTCTGAGTGTCCATCTGAGTCCGTTTATTTGGTCTGTCTCGCTGGGTCTGCGTGACCGTTTCACGTCTCTCTCTATGTGACTCTGGACATGTGGGAACTTCCGTTGGAGGCTCCTCCAGGTCTATGGGTCAGTCCTCGATCGTTCAGTGGATCTGTGGGGCCGCGAATCCAGCGAGAGTCCGTTTTTGGGAAAACCACTCTGTGTGGATCCACTCTTGTTCTTCCATCCCCAGTCCCCAGGAGGGTCCATGTGCCAGGGAAGGGCTCACAGGTGGCGCTTCATGTGCAAGGCCAGGTGGTCGGAGCGCGAAAAAGCGCGTGAGCAGAGCTGGCAGCGGAAGGGGCGCTGTCCTGTGTGCTTCCGGTAGTGGCGAGTCAGCTCGTCTGAACGTGCGAACCTCCACCCGCAGCCGTCCCAAGTGCAGGCGTATGGCTTCTCCCCTGGGGGCGGGGGGGTGCGAGGAAACTGTGAGCGCCATTGTCCACCCCCTGTCCCCTGCATCTGGCCGCACCCCTTTACTCAGTCTGGCTGGGACTAGGGTGAGGCAAGTCAGGCACCTAGGCGGCAAAATTTAGGGGCCATCCCACATCTGCACCCAGGTCTCACCCTCTGCAACTCTGACCCTTCCTCTGCACCAGCAGCTAGCACCACGCCCTTTCTCATTTACTGGGCCCAAGCCCGTCCCCTACACCACTGGCCCCACCCACTTCCTGTGCCCTGGCACCCTGTCCCTGCGTCCTAATACTGTCCCACTGCTGTCCTTTGGTCCTGCTACTTGTGTTCCAGCTTCCTCCATGCACCACGGGACCCTCCAACTGCTGCCCAACCTTGCCCTAGACCTTGGTCTCTGAGCCCTGAAATCCACTCACGTTCCAGGCCCTGACCCCAGTGATTACTCTCTCTCCCTGCTAGGCGTGGCCCTTCTCTGCCGCTCCCCAGGGACAGGTCTGTACACCTGTCCGGATCCCTTAGGCATAGGCCTCACCCCTCCTCTGTTCCATGGCCCCGCCCCTGTCTTCCACCCCTTGGGATCCAGCTTCACCTCCTAGGCCTACACCCCTCTTTTGTTTCCCAGCTCTTTCCCCTGTCCTAGACCTGCCTCCACATCTGGGCCCCTTCCTTTGTGAGCCGCCCCTGAAACTGATTCTGCCCGTCTCACTCTCTGGGCCCCAGCCACACTTCCTACACGTCTGGAGGCGTCTCCATGCCAAGCAACCACGTGCCCGGGAATACCACGGCTATGGCCCCTGAGCCCCTGGCATTCCAAGCTTGTCCACTCTCAGCAGCTCCCCGCCTCTAGCCCTGTCCTGCTTTCTGCTCCTCCGCCCCTCTGTGGCCCAGGTCTTACTCGTCAGCTCCCCACCTTCTCTTTGCCCCCACCCGCCTTCCAGACCTCTGCCCTGTCCTCTGACCCTGCCCCTGAACTTCCAGGCCCGCCCCCTGCCGCCTCTGCCCCGCCCCTTGCTCCAGGACCCTGCCTTTAGCCCCGCCTCCAGAGATCCAGTCCCGCCCCCTGCGCCGGGTCTTTGCCTCTAGCCCCACCCCTTGTTCCTGGGTTTCAGCTTCCCGGTCGCGCTGGACTCCCGGGCCCCGCCCCTAGGCTCGGGCCCCGCCCACTCACCGGTGTGCGTGCGCAGATGCGCCTTCAGGTGCGAGCTCTTGGTGTAGCTCTTGCCGCAGCCCGGGTGCGCGCACGTGTGCGCCGCCTGCCTCTTGCGCGGCCACGAACGCCGGCTGCGCTTGGACTGTGCGGCTTCGGCGGTCGTACCTGTATCTCCTGCGGTCCCTCCGAGTCCGGCGCCCACCGTCCCGGGTCCCAGACAACTCAGGAAAGAGGGGCGCGCGGCGGGACCGGGCGCGGACGCTGGGAGCCCGCGGAAGAGCTGAAAGTGCCCTTGGTACTGCGGCGCCGGGTACAGCGCGGGGTATCCAGACAGCAGCCCGTAGGGGGCGCCCGGTGCCGTGGGCACTGAAAACCCGGTCCTCGGGAAGTAGCTGCCAGAGGAGCCGGCGCCCGGCCCGGGGTACACCGGCTGCAGCTGCAGCGCCTTGGGCTCGGGGGCCGGGCCCAGGGCTGGGCCTACAAAGGCGTCCGGGGCCGGGGCTCGCAGGGCAGGGCGCGCCCAGCCCGAGTGCTCCTCGGGACCCAAGAGCCCAACCACCGACTCCGGGCCGCCCGCACACGCGCCCAGACTCTCGGGCGGCGGCGGCGGCGGCGGGTATTGAGCCCCAGGACCCTCGCCGGGCGCCAAAGCGCAGGTTCGGGGCACGCCGCCCGGCTCCGGGCCCGAGAAGTTGGTGAGGAGGAGATCCAGGTCCCAGGTGGCATCTGCGTCCCTGTCATTGTCTTCGTCCTCCCTGGGCGGGTTTTCCAACTCCAGCTTCACGTGGAGGGGCTGCACCGTGGGGTCGGGGGGACCCGGGCCCATGTCCTGCCCCTCTTCGGAGCGCCACCACTGTAGGAGGGAGCGGGCAGCTTGAGGCTTCACTGAAGGTACCCTTTACTGAAGGGCCCAAAGGTACCCTAACTGGGGACAGCACGGGCTGGACACCCTGATGGGGACAGCCTGGCCGGAGGCTTTGGAAAAGGGTCTTTTCCTGTCCGTTGTCAGTCTATCCCACTCCCCCACGCTGCCCCCCCAAACCCCTCAACCCCAGGGACAGAGGACGATCAGGTCTGGCTGGAGACAGGAGATAAGACTTCCATTATCTGGAACCACACTCAGAGATGGGGGAAGGGGTAGCAAAGCTGGAGGTGAAAGGCTGGGAGGGCCCCCCGTCTTGACTCAGTTTTCCCCCAGAACCTCCATCTCCTTCCCTGTCTCCCAGCAAGATTAATTCCCAAATGTTGGGTGTCCCCCAGGCATATTCGCCATTCTCCACCAATGTGCAGGAGTGGTCTCTCTCAACCTAGACCCATGTGGGTGTTCGGCTCAGAGCCTCAGTTTTCTAATGCAAAAATAGGTCCTACCCAGAACCTCGACCCCCTAGACCACCCTCCCTCCGTCAGACCAAGCTTAGATCCCTGACCTGGGCTGAAGGTACCTCAGTCCTGGCCAGGTCTCTTGATTCCAGGGCAAGGTACAGGCCTGGCCCCCAAGCTCTGTGGCTGTGGCCCTGGGTCCCAGCCACCCCACCTAGACCACGCCTAGCCCTACCTTGAGGAAGTCCTCCTGTGGGTCCGGGAAGGGGCCCAGGGTGGTGAGTGTGCTGATGGAGGGCAAGGCGGTCTCGGCTGCGGCCATGGCTGGCTGGTGCCCACCCTGGGCCTCAGGCCTCCTCTCCCTTGGCTGCCTCGTGGGCTCTGAGGCTCTGATGGCCTCTTGGAGGGCTCCTCTCTGCCCTCAGCTGATTGGCTGCAGCCCCTGATAAGGGGCAGACAAGGCGGGGGGTCACTGTTTCTGGGGAACAGACCTCACCTCGGCCTGTTTGTGGCTGGGCCTTAAATACTAACCCGGTATCCAAAGCCAAGTCAGACATCAGGGGGCTGGGGGCTCAGGGGTTGGGGGTTCAGGTACAAAGAAAGGCACTGGATCCCCAAAGAAGGAGAGACTCAGGGGCCTAGTCTCCATTTACCTTCCTGGAGAAGGGGTGACAGGCAACATGGGTGTGCTGGGAACAGGCTGTGGGACCCCCTGTCCCCCAAGCAGGGCTCTGCAGCCCTCTCCCTCCCCAATAAACAGCAACAGCCGGGCTGATGGCGGGACTTGGCATGAACTCCCTGCCAAGCATTATCAGACACCCCAGACGTTGGAGGCTGCTATCAGGTGGGGGCCCAGACCAGCCAGAGCTCTGTCCCCTGGTGAATGGGGAGGACTGGGGGGTTGGGTCTTCAAATAAGCATGGCTTTAAATTGCCTGGGTTGGGAGCTCCTAGGGTCTGAGCCCTGTGGCAGGAGGCAGCTCCCTGTCAAGCAGCCCACCAGTGTCTGCCGTGGGCCCTCAGTTGCCACTGCATAGGACCGTGGAGGCAGCTGAGGCTGGTGCAGTGACATTTGCTCCAGTGCAATGGGGGGCCGGGAGGGAGGATGGGACTGTTGGATCATGCCACAGGCAGTACCTGAACTGCAGCAGACCCACACGGTGGCTCTGTCCCTAGCTGCTGCTTGATTTTGCCAAACATGGAGAAAGGATCTGAGGTTCTACAACAGGGACCTCCACTCCGGTGCCCTGGGAGCCTGGGTAGGGGACATGGACACACATCACAGACATGTAATTTATAGTCATACACACAGCCATGCAATTACGTAGTGACATAAGTTCCTGGTCCCTTGGTCACACCTGCACATGTAATTTTGTGTCCGTGCATGCCTATGGACCATGCGCAGACACACTTCCCAGGCACTAAAACACAGCTGTATGCTATATTGGTTACACAACGTTATAGCCACACGATCCCTAAGATACAGAATTCATAATCATACACGTGTGCACTAAAACAATCAGGCAAAATTCCACAATTCCACAATCCCACTGACACAATTTAGCCACAAGCCACCAGACACACAGGGATTCCTGAAGATGTTGTACAGAAGTATTAGTGAACGCAGTCCCACAAGCTGATAAAACACAGGTGTAACCTTAGACACTAACACATAAAACATGGGCTGGGTGTTGTGGCTCACACCTGTAATCCCAGCACTTTGGGAGGCAGGAGGATCACTTGAGCCCAGGAGTTCAAGGCTGCAGTGAGCTCTGATCACACCACTGCACTCCACCTTGGGTGACAGAGTGAGAACTCATCTCGTTAAAAAAATGGTTAATTTTATGTTGTGTGAATTTCACCTCAATGAAACAGAATGGCTGGAATTGGAGTGGTTTTCTAGTGAGGAAAACAGAGTTTCTCTTTGGGAAAGATCTCCCTGGTTTAGGATCAGGCATTACACAGGCATGTCTGGCTCTGAAAGGTGAGGCAAGAGGACAACAGTCCTGAGAGAGAAGAGTGAGGCATTTAGCTGGGGGACAAGGGCCCCGGGAGTGTGTGGCCAGGAGGGATGATGGACTTCCCAGGGCAATAAAGTCTGAGCCACAATTTGGGTTTTCAAGTGCGTACATTGTCATCTCCCTCTGATATCCCCTGAGAATCAGAGAACTGCTACACCCACAGCAGCTCCAGGGGAGGAGGCTTTGGGGAAAGGAAGGAGGGAAGGAGAGAGGCTACTGTCTACAGGAGGGAGGTAACCAGAACAAGTGCTATGTAGAATCCCAGACATTTCAGGGTGGTGACGAACTCCCTGCTGTGTGAGGAGGAGGGTTCAAACCATTTTATTTGGAGATTAATGGTAAGAGCCCAGAAGGTGGGAGGGTCCAGAGACACCCAGGTCCCAGGCATTTGGGGACAGTGGCAGAGCATGTTACATATACAACTACACAGAGGGTTGACATGGCAAGAACCGTTGACCTGGACAACATGTTGAGACCCCATCTCTACAAAAAAATTTTTTAAAATAGCTGGGCATGGGGCTGGGCGCGGTGGCTCACGCCTGTAATCCTAGCACTCTAGGAGGCCAAGGCGGGCGGATTGTTTGAGCTCAGGAGTTCGAAACCAGCCTGAGCAAGAGCGAGACCCCTGTCTCTACTAAAAATA